TCGCTCGAAACGAACAGAAGCGTCTCATTCAAATGGGGTGTTTAGTAATGTATGTGAAAAATACGATCAACATCTTTGATAAATTCTTCTCCCTTTTTTCATCTCAAAGTTAGATTGTCCGGAAAGTGTCTTTCTTTCGCAAACGTGTTTTTTATAACAGTGCACCTTCGTACAAACGTGAAAGCAAGTCTGTGAAATGTTTATCTCAACGGAACAAAATGGATCGTACGTAATTCGACGAAATAATATAAAACAAAAAACGTTGTGCGTCTATTATTTCCTCATAACACGAAAGAAACCTTTCCGACAACCTAATATTTATTGAACATTATTTGAGACAAATATTAATTGTAAAAAGACCTTCGTGACCTTCCGTATTATCGTGAAATAATTTGTCGTCGTCGAAAATATGACCTCGAGGACCCTCAATGGCCCTGAGTCCCAGTATTACAACCTCGATGGTTGCTGCGTGACTCGAAGTTCAACATAAGTTGAAGTTGACATAACGCCGATGGTTCCACCAAGATCTTGAACTAACTTCAATGCCATCTAAATAACGTAATCGTGAAACAAGTTTCCAACAATCGAAGCTACTATTTTAAGCAGCTGTTCGTCTAAAATTCGTCCTTACTCGCGAATCTACTTGGCCAGCTTTCGTGCGTTTCGTCTCGGTAATGCTGTTTTATACGAAGCGCCGTAAGCTCACGGTCTTAATACCGTTGGGAGTCAACGGGAGGCTGCTAGGTGGAAAAATTCACGGCGGATACAGCGAAGAGACGGAAAATCGAGGACGTTTCCGGGTGAGTGACCCCGTTCTCATTTGACATTCAATGGATGGCGCGCGCCATAAAGGGTCGGAATGTCGTGTACTCGAGCGGCGTAAATTACAGCCGGTCGGGAAATTCGTTGTAATTTCTCGGCGTGACGATTAGACGCGAGTTCCAGGAAAAATCGACGAATTCTCGTCGAAGGGATCGCACGGGATCTTCGTTCGACCGCTGGAGAACGTACATCCCGTTGCTTGCTGAGAGTTTCTAATGAAAAAGAAGAACAACCGGTGTAAACGCGGCGGACGAATAATTCCAATGGAAATTCCACGAATATGGACGAATTTTTTTACTGGAAACAGGAAAAAGTAATCGACGAGGAAATATGAGAATCGATACACCGACTATACGACGAGTATCTATTTTATTTCCATCTTTTTTCCTTTTCTTTCTTTTTTATAGTTCCTTAACCATCGATGTAATTAAAAATCTTGCGAACAATCTGATAATTATCGTTGCTTCTGAAGACATTGTTTCCTTGTGGTGTAATTAGTCGTGGGCGTTTCGAGTTTGTGTAATTTTCCAGCGACTCGACGTTTTTCGATAGTAGATGTTCTTTAAGAAATTTTAATAAATTTGATAAGTTCTCGATACTTACAACGAAATTGTAATATGAATGGCGAACGCATAAATAACGAAACGCTTATGAAATCACGAACAATTTTATTTACATATTTTTCGCATATCTATGATACAGAATTTGAAAATATATTTCTTGTACTTTAAAGCATAAACATATAAATGTAGGATACAATTGTGTATTTCTAATTGTGTATTATATAATTCGTGACGAAACGATTCGCAGTGTTCCAGACCACGTTAATAGGTATAGTTCATGGATTTTGTTAACTGTCTTTATTTTATCCACTGGGAAGTACGAAATTCTAATTAGAACCGAGGGTCCTAGAGATTTCTTCCATTCTCAGGATTACAGGTCGGTTCTCCCGAAATGGAGTTCGCTTAAAAAATCCCCTCTAGGTATAACTAGGTATACATTCTTGAAGTGTCGCCTACGTTGGAGTGTAAGAAGGTTCTATAGAGGAGCGTAGGAATATACATTTTAGGGTAAGACGGGTTTTAGAAGTTAGAATTGCTGAAACTTTCAGACGGACACGTTCGCTGTTCAGGTTGTAGAATTCGATCTACCTTTGAGCTAACTTTCAGATTATAGCTCCGAGTAAAATTGTTATTTTTCGTTGAATAATTTTTTATTTGCAGCTATTCTTAAAAAACTTTTAGTCCAATCGATTTTGCTTTAATTCATTTACGCGGACAGTATTTCCAGGCGATATTTTTCAATTCTTTTTTCTCTATTTTTCCATGAAATAATTTTGAAAGTGAACGATCTCCAAATGGTGGAAATTGGTGGCTCTCAGCTAAAAATTACATTTCACGTGCTGAATTTCCATCGATACTTTTCAATCACGACCTATTCGCAATTTTCTACGAAGAGAAAAACTATTTTGCTAACGAAAAATAGAAGCATCGGAAAGCAAGTTGCAAATGCCGACCAATTCCGCATCTTCCGCTTCTTTTATCTTTTATTTTCTTAATTAATATCTATTTAGGGAACTCAAACGATCACAGCTTACGTCTTGATCCTCTTTCATTCGCCTTAATCTCTTAGAAAATTACAGCGGCTGTGAAACATTTTTAAACGAACTGTAATTCTGTTTCAATTTAAATTGTACGCTAATACGATTGTTCTAGGAGAAATTTTGATACGCCACCATATTCCATGGAATACATGGAACACTTATATCACACTCGTACCTTTGTCTTCAGAAGTTGTTCGTTTTAAGGAAGCAACAGAGAGAGACGTTTCAAGTCGAGAAAGTCTTTCCAATCGAGCGATAAATTGCACTGTTGTAATAAATTAAAACTAATCGGTTCGTCTTTCACGAGATCCTACAACAAGTAAACACGTTCTAGATAATTATACGCATCTGCAAGATAACGTTAATCTTTGTTACGTTAATTTGCGTAAATAAATATATCCCCCTCGTAGTTGAATCAAGACAACCATCACAGAGGTAATGCATCTCGCCTCGAGAACTCGGCAAGCCTCGATATATCATACTTTTCCTTCATTATCGCTACCATTTCATTATCCTTTTTCTGCAGTCTGTTTCAACTAGTCAACACAGCATACAGATTGAGACAATCAAATTTCCATCTGACGAAAGACCATTAGGTTGGAACGGCTGGATTGACCTTGCGAGATCTGGTGAATTCGAAAAAGCGGCACTTAAGCCGATTACGAGCTTATGTTCGCAATCGATCTTCGTCGTAAGTAGCCAACAATGGCGGAGTCATTTCCGTTTTTGCGGTAATTATGCACACGCCGCGGCCGCGTTCGCATTTAATTTCAGCCGCGTGTCATTATCGTACAGGTTTGTGCTCTCGTTGCCGCTTGCTCGTTCAACTGATTGAATTTTTCATAAGACCCCATAATAAGAAGCATTGCAACTGTGCCTAGCATACGTAATGTATTCTGAAACGTTACTTGTTCCTGGCAGAATGGGAAAAAAGAGAACGCTTGTAGTAACGACGCTATCATATTTTCCGTTGCATAATATTCTCGACGTAAGTAATGCACCTTCGATCGCATTTAGATATCTCGACACACCTTCCTCTAATATCATCGCTAGGAATTGTCGTTGAAAAGCGATAAAAATAGTTGTTAGTTTTAATGTAAATTAGCATCTAAGAAATTATGATTTTCTTTCGTCATTTTGTGAATTTTATAGAAATTGGAAGGAACTCGCTTCATTTCAGGAAAGCAAAAGAATATTATAGCGCATTTAGTTTCTGTTTAATGTATCTGAATTTTTCTAACAAAATGTTCATCGTGTTAGTTGGCACAAAACCGTGACGAACAGAGAGACACTTTAGGTTTATAGAATCGTTTATTTTTTTCAACACTGTCGGCGATTCTATGTGCATATGCGACACCGATCTATCTTTCACACGATGACCAGGCGAACAAACGACAAAAAAAAAAAAAAAAAAATATCGGTTTGATTGGAGGGAGGGATGAGATTCGTACACGCAATTTCGGAGTTGTCGTACAACTAACGGAAACGAATTTGATCGCTGTAACAATCTCCGATATAGGTCTCACTGGAAGTTAAAACGATCCAGTATTCTGGTTAAATATCTTACGAATATTTTTGTACTTTTCGAACTTTAACGTAGAACAAACGACACAACGCAATCACGTTACGCGAATTTTCATTTTCGTTCAAAATTTTCGCAGAAACTTAAATTCAACAAGAAATCTAACTAAATGAACAAATAAGAATTCCTCTTAAGAGGTCTAATTTTAGAGGAATAGAAATGGCTCGTCGCTCTCCTCTAAATTAAAACAACCTGTAGAATTCGCAGCTGTCTGAGGCTCTTCAAAATATCACGCCGCAGAAACAATTCTTTCCCATCTGGAACACAAATCGGTGGCAAAATGCTCTCGAAGCAGTTACGTCGGTTCGCGTTACACTGTGTTTGCGCCGGTTAGCCATTTGAATCTCATTCCCCATGCAAATTGTGGCGGTGCTGGCACCGTGATTGATACGTACACCGTTTGGTCCCGATCTAAACTATTTTCCCGCGTGCGATAAACCGACCCGAATTTCGAGTCGCGGTATTTAATACGCGTTGTGCATGCAACAGACGAAAATCCAGACATTGAGAAAAAACAAATATCGAGTGCCGTTTAGGGCCGCCCCGCGAACGTTAGTTTGCACACCGATTCATTTGTCACGTGTCCCGTGTATTTGTCTTCGTGCCGGTTATTAATTGCCCCCTCGTCGAGTCGAGCACGTACAAATATTGGCTTGCACGAAATACGCTGGCAAGTCATTATACAACGGCCAAAACATCGCCTGGACATACTTTCCCAACGAAACTAACTGCTTGGCCAGTTTTAGTCGTGTTTTTTTTATTGTCAGTGGGTTATTAGTAAACTAGGCCAATAGACATTCGGTTAAGCCGGAGAATAAGTTCGATAAATCGATAGTAAGACTCGACGAAGAACGTTTTAAGATAGCGACGACGAGATACGGAACATTAAGATTTTCATTTAAGTGGAATCAATAGATGGGTACTGTCCAAGAGGTTCGTCAATTATCAAGGGTGTTCGTTAATTAACAATATCGTGGTGTTCTTTGCTTTCAGGTGAGTCTCGAGTAATCTGCTTTCGTCTTACGCCACTGATGATCCGTTCTTTGACGTTTAATGTAAGTAACAGTTCATAAAATATGCCTCATTAGTATGTATATATAAATTTGACATATGTGAACTATTAAACGAAGTACAAATTACTTCATATATAAATATATATCGCTGTCAGATCGGTGCCAAACTTGATGGATCTTTACCAACATTCAAGAATTAAACCTCGAAATCTAAATTCAAAGCTACCTATGAAAACTCTTCCTCTTATCTTTCGTTCTTTGTCAAAGGACCCTCTGAATGATCGAGCAAGTTGTTCAACTTCGAAACTCTGTTCAAATGAGATCTATTCGATCGATCTCACCCCATGCGTCCTTTTTATATCTTTACAATTATATTTACGTTCCTTGAAAATACTAGACTATGAAAAGAAGAAGGTCCATATATTATTAATAGCACTGCATATACACCGAAGATTCATAAATTACTGTTCATAATTTATTGGTACGCAACGCCGGTAATAATTTACTACCTTGGACGCGCGAACAAAGATCGACGCATCACTCAAAGCGTTAATCCAAACGGGATGAGACCCTCGCACGGTTCGCTATACTTCTCAGGCGAACATCTGACGGCAATCGAGCGACGGATAAACAGAGGGATTGGCTCGTGTAGGTTCGCGAGAAACGTGGTACACCTGGTGGCTCGGAAGCAACTACAAGTGCACGAGGAATACACCGTGAGATTATTTTCTCTGACTCGCTTGTTTCCGAGCGAATTTATGCCCGTAAGCAGTTGCCAAGATATCCATCCGGCGCGTTCTGCTGGCTGGACAAACACTTAGCCACGACTTACGAACGGCCATCGTCCAAGACAACCGTCGTGTCGTACGAATAACTTTTGCGAACAATGGAGCACGCACGAGTGATTGCACGTGAATTCGGCCCGTGAGACGAAGTTTTCATTGTTCGCGTAATATCGTCGCGTGCTGGCTTCCACTTCGAAAGATCTCTTTACGATCCCTTGAGAAGATCGGGAGGTGATTTTAAACGGAATTTTCTTTGGGATGAAAAGTATCAAATTCTTTCCCTCGGGAGGGTAGAACGAACGTTTGATTTTATTCGTGTTCGATGTATGCGTGGAGCGATGGTAGTCGAAATGTACGGTTGAAAAGGAAACGAGTAGATAGCAAAAGTAAGACGATTTTAACATAGAATAACAAAAACAAAGTTTTCCTCGCTTCTGCATGTCAGAATAGACTAGTTCACGGTTTTTGACTTTGGTCCAGCGTTGTTCACGAACATTTGAGCCGAGGATTACTCCACGAGGATAGCGTGGCGTCGTGGTTCAATTCCCGTTGAAGTCGATGCTTCCTGAGACCGGTTAGTAATGACTGTGGAAGTTGTCGCGGAAACGGAACAACGTTTAGGAAATGGGCTCCAGGGAAATTGAGTTGAAAGTTGAATTTCAAGGATCCTCGGCGTAATGGAATCAGTTAAACCTTTTAGAACATAATCTTTACTTTTCCATGGATTAATAATCGTCCACTTAAATTGTAATTCTTTTTAATTCTACAACTTCTAGCAGACATCAACTTTTTCACTTCGTTTTTTCCTTAGTTTCGTAAAATATGACTTTTAAATAATCATTCAACTTCTCTAGAACGCATCGGTTGTAAATCTACAAAATTGGTATAGACAATTATCAATTGATCATTTTGATATCATTGGCCATTTTAATAGTTGTAGCGTTAAAATGCTTCGAATTTCGTTTAAAAACCGTTTGTAGCGCTATCTGTTCAAGATGAGCGAATGGCGAATATGCATGGAAGAAGAAACGTCGAATAGCGATCGTCGCTTATGGGCATTCATGCGAACCAAACGACACAACGTTCTATCTACTGCAATTTTCGTTTCGATATTCCCTCTATTTCATGTTGCATATTTTAAATCTCCTATCGTAGAAATTTTATTTTATTTCTGACTTTTCTTCTTTGTCACCTTTAGATGACATCGTTATCAAGAGAAATTTCTCTTCGACTTTAGCTATTCTCAGAAGATTGCAATTTCAATTGCAGGGAATTACAAAAGTACAAAATTAACCATTAGCGTTTACAAAAAATTTACCTTCAAGATCCAAATTCAAAGACTGGTGAATATATTTCCATGTCATCCGCCTTAGTCTTTTTATCTCTACATACAACTCTGTGAAACGATTAAAAAGTTAAAACAATTATCAAGATAAATTATCACGTCTAAAATAATTTGGCGCCGAGTCACGAAGATTACGATTTCCGCGTCACGATTTCCCCGACCAACGGAACCCACCCAGATACCAAACCTAGCGTACCATATATTCCCTAACCCAACCATGATAAGTTTATGCTCATATAGGACCCGGGCATATCGCCTAAGATGAGCGCCGTCGAACAAACAATCCTCCGTTGTTTGAAGTGCTATTAAAGGGCTCCAGATGGTATGCATCTGAGCGAAGAGGCTGGAACGGCGATCGAAGCGAGAAAGAGAGACAATTGATATTGAAGGAAGCCCCGGGATTGGATGCACTCCAAACGCGTAGAATGGAACAACAAGCAAAAGCCGATGGCTATGTCTACTTATGCAAAATGGAGAAATAGGAAGGTTCGTTGTTATCGCTTGAATCACTGGTTCCGTTGGACCGAATTCTCTAGCTGGCGCAGGATATCCTCACTTTCAACCAACCGAATGCTCTTCCGCCTCTTTGGAGATGTTGTGTTATCTCGCCTCTCGTGTGCCCCGAGAGGTATAGCGTTCGATGCACGAGATATTTCGATAGGAACGTTGTTTTCTATCGTTCCTATAGACTTTGTTGAACGAAAGCCTGGTCATGTTGGAAGATTCGGTCAAAGGTTTTGGATTAAGAGATTTTTACGGAATTTTACGGATAGCGTTGTCGGACCATTAGTTTCGTGCTCATTTGTAAGATTATTCTTGCTCGAGGTTCGATACAGTTTAGCAATTACTTCCTGTACATTTTATTTCTTAAATGGAAGATTATTGGAAATAGTTCTAGTGTAAGTGAATAGGTCTGTATTTTAAGATCTCTTTCGATCAATACCGTGGCTACTTTAAAATATAGAACGCGTTGTATCGTAAATCACACTGATGATTCACGTGGTGGTCGTATACAGCGAAGTTTGTTCTTATCGTCTTAATATTTTCATTATTGTTAGCAGCTTGTTGACCTTTTCTTCGTCATCGAACCGAGCAACCCACCAAACGCAAAAACTCATCAAGACAGAAGACAAATTACAACGTTACCACGATTCTCAATTCCCTCAACGAGAACAACCAAAAAATATATAAAATGTTCCATTTTCTCCTATCGGAGGGGAAAAAAGTATTCCTCGGAGAACCTCCCTTCCTGAATGGTGGCGCGTTAACCGCCAAGGGTGGATTTACCGGACGATTAAAACACCGCCCGGTTTCTTTCGTACTCTGCTAGAAGGAAAGTTCTTGTAACGATGTCTTAACGAGCTAATGGGATTTATTAATTCCCCCGCCGTTTGAATAATTAAAAAACTACGATGTTAACATCCGCAAGACACGGGTTGTTCGTATTTTGCGAGCTGCCCTTTGCGTCGCCCAGGGAGCTACACGTATTAAAACACACGAAGCCTTCCGTCTCCAGGGGATGATTTCTCTTCGTTAGACAACCCTACTATTCTTTCGGTAAAGGGAATTAATTCTCGCGTGTAACTTCTCAGAGAGAAAGTTCGCAGTTCGGATCTGTTCCGCTTTCAAATAGAATTAAAATAAAATTTTTACGTCGGAATTTACACAGTTTTCCTCCTACCTGTTCCTCTGTGCTTTTGTTTCCGTTCGGACGCAGGCCGTTTCGTTTCATTCTCACAGCTATCTTTTGTTCCCGATTCCTTGCTTTTCCTAATTTTTATTTGTCCTGAAATAATAACCCGACGAGTTTGTTTGTTCTAAGGGGAACCTTAACTACTTATTCTACCGGTTTTTGCTTCTTCTCCATTTTTTTTATCTTCGTTGCTGCTGCTGCTCGCTTCGTTGAATTTCTGGCATTTCGTTTCGGGCGATTTAAATAATTAGGAACATACGGTGTAGAAGCCGTGCAAATTCTCCCCTCGACGTCTTTTCCGATTATTCCGTTTTAAAATATCTTTGAAGTACCTTCAAAATTTCTCTGGTTCTACAACAGCGGAACAATCAAATAGGAAAATTTAGTTTAACGTACGCTTCAGCGAATTTGTATTCCTTTTTACGAGTAGCTTTCATCACTTTATATCGCCTTGTATAAGAAAATCAACGTTGATCCAGGATTCGTTTCTGTTGAGAATCGTTGATCTTAATCGGCCAAATAAATGTATAGGAACACTTAGATTACACTTAGAATCGATATCAAGATAGTTTCAGATTTATTGGATATGTGATTTACAAGATATTCGTCGATACACATTTGCACGCGTCTCAGCACTCTCTTTGTCTCGCCATCTTCTTTACCACACTACCAACGGAACGGTTGCATTCTTCTATTTCACGAGACGCTGTGCACACTCATACTCATATATGTGTGTCGTCACTACTACGCGGCTAATCTAGTGTAGCACACAAAATTACACATATCTCAATAGTTTCGATTCATAGTTTGCCGCTTTATAGTAAAACAATCGCGAAGACACATTTATCGTATTTCATTTCATTAACTTGAAATTTGAAACTGATACGGGATAAGCGTTACCTAACCGTACGTTTAATCACGGAATTCTGAATGGTTTCATACGTTCGTAAAATAATCAGCCTAAAGCCGAATAATCTAATTTTTAATTTCACAACATCGACTTCATCTGTATCTAATTTCTGATCTACAAACGAGATTTCCACCGATGACCACCCTAAATAACATCCATTACGACCACCGTACTCCTTCCACAGCGTTCTACGTTCCTCCCTCTGTGTCCGGCAACCGCTTAGCATACGAAATTTCGATCAGAATCGTTCGCCCGTGTCGGTCGATATTTTTCCACGCGAGAGGTTCGCCGTTTACCCTCAGCAGGGAA